CAAGGAATTGAGGTAAATGGTAAATGGTAAATGGACCTGTACTTGTATAGCGCCTTTCTAGTCTTCCGACCACTCAAAGTGCTTTTACACTACGTGCCACATTAACCCTTTCACACACATTCACACAGCGATACACAGCATCTGGAACAATTTGGGGTTCAGTATCTTGCTCAAGGATACTTCGACATGTGGCACCAGGAGCCAGGGATCGAACCAACAACCATCCGATTAGTGGACGACCCGCTCTGCCTCTGTGATGTGAGCTTTTTCTCCATTTGATATCATTATAAATGGAATATCTCTGAGTTTTGGAACAAAGCAACGGCCAATTTGAAGGTAACACCTTCTCTGGGAACTTGTTGCAGACTTTTCTTGCATCTCATAGATTAATTATTTAATTAAACATTCAATTAAAGTCCCAGCCTAAACTCAAACTGCATTAAAGCTTTAGAGCCTCTTGGAACCATGACTGATTCCATAACTAGAAAACCACCCTTCAGAGGATCAAGTGGTGCTTTAAAGCAGCTTCTTTAAGGAGCCTCTGCAGATCCACCTGTTTGTACTGAGCACACCAACCTCAACTGCTAATACTTAAGATAATAATGTAACTTCAGATAATAATCTCTGAACCAAACATGTTCTGTTTAGCTCTGCAAGTCGCCATGAATGATAAGAATCAGGAGTCAAAAGTGCAGTAGCTCTAACGGCTCTAATGTTTTCTCACAGTGTTTCTTTGCTGTTCAAACTCAAGTTTCCGCTTTCTTGGATTTCATCTGTTTTCATAATCTGCATCACTTAAGACACAGGGTGCTTTTGCTCGGCCGCTGCTTTCCACCATTTAGCTGGTACAGAAACGCTGGAGACTATCAGCTACATCTAAATGAGAAGCAAAATACGAACACAGAACACATCCATAATGAATTACGGATGGCTTTAATAAGAAATGAAGCTGTTTTCACACAGCGGTGCCGTGATAAGATGCCTGCAGTGAGAGGATCTGTCCAAACAGCTCTCAGGAAACGGGCATGACAAAGCGCCTTGACGTTTGTATTTTGTTTAAAGTGTTGGGAAGAAGGCCTCGGAAAAATGTCGGGAGGGAAACTATTCAACAAGTCAAACCATTAAGCATTTAACTGGCTTTTCATGAGGGGGAAGTGTTTTAGGAAATATGTGTAAGAGGTAAAAGATTTGTTCTTTCTTTCAAGAAAACAAATGATGCTTCTCCAGCCGTGCACCATGGGTAACACGAGTCTTGAAGTTGTTACCAAAGACAGATCGCTGCCTTGTCATGTCTTACTTTTGAAAAGCCCTAGAAAGTCAGGTTGACTTTCAAGCTGGATTTTAAAAGGGAAGGGGTTTTGTGCTGTAATTGCTATATAATGAGGGTTTCACTGACCTCCTGCCATATCTTGGCCATGCTTTTTTATTTACTCGTCGAGCAAAAGGCAGCAACTCTGTTAAGCAGATGGAAAAAATATGTCTCCCCGGCTCCTGCAAGAATTTGATTTCTCCCAACAGCTGTCTTGCTTTATACAAGCATGAAGTCAGGGAATCGCCCATCTCAAATCAATCACGCTGGCTGACGTTTCCTGCAAACCGACCGGGTGGTGGGGGGTGGCGGGCTAAGAGGGGAGCACTGTCATGGCGGAGAGGAGCTGATGGGCTGATGTGCTTTTGTTTACGTCCTCTAATGCCTTCTCCCATTAGCTGCACCACTGAGAGCTGTGACCTGAGCCACAGGAAATCACCTGACACCTGCAGGAGGAAACTTTAACACAACTCCATTAGCTCTGAAAATGACTCTGAGTGCACTGTGATGATGATGGGCCAGTTTGCTACTTTTACAATTTACATTTTTATATATTGACTGTGAAAGGCACCAGTGCCATTGCAGTAAAAACCCATTACTGTATATTTTCCCATAAATAAATGTTTTTTTTCCATAACACACTGATAAAAAGTCTTTGTCCTGAAATTAGGAAACACTACAACATAAAGAAGTTAAAGCTGCAGTAGGTAATTTAAAAAATATATATTTCATTGTCATATTTGCTGAAACTTTAACTATATCCTGACAGCAGTACATGAGAAAGATAATCTGTGAANNACATGCATATATACATACACACACACACACATAAAGTTAGACTATATGTGCACAAACCCATGCACCCACACAAACGCACACGATATTCTGTTGTTTGACCTGCTAAGCCCTCTGAATTTAAGGTGGAAAGGATGGGTAGGATTATTTCTAGGATATGACCAGCTACACTAAAATGAATCAATTTATAAAAAATGTAATAGTGCGTGGACAGATCTGTTTGCTGTTTGCTTGATCTGTGGGTCTTTGACTGTTAAGGTTGCTAAATTAAATAAAGTATAAAACTCCATGCACATTTGGGCTGGTGGAGAAATATGTTCCAGGCTTAAGAAGCAGCAGTACTGAGGGCTGTAGGAGAAATAAGACTTTTAGTTGCAGAAGTAACTAAAGTGGGACAGAAGCAGCCCTTTGCTTCAGTGTGCCCCCTGCTGATTCAAATATAGCGGCTGCAGAAAGAGACACAGAGAAAAAGGAGAGGGTCTGTGTGAGACAGAAAGGTGAATAGGTCCTTCCTTGACACATCCCATAGGGTGTGTGTGTGTGTGGTGTTCCCTACAGTGGCTGTCATTTTACTTGACTGTCAAAGAGCTGATTGTCTGACACAGTAGAACAAAGTGTTGCCTCTGGCATGACTGATTCTCCACTGTGTCAGCCTGTGAGAATGTGGAATATGCTTTTTGAAGCTCTCAGACACAAGTTCTGTATGATATCTACTAGCGATGGCTGTAATTTGGAATTGTGTTAAAGCTGCAGTAGGTTACTTTTATAAAAATAATTGTCATATTTGCTGAAACTTTCACTGTATCCTGTCAGTAGGACATGAGGCAGCTAATCTCTGAAAAAATCAGGTTCCCCTCGTTCGTTTTAGTGCTCCTAATGGCATTTCCAGTAGGCTCCAATATGCTTTGAGTTGAAAGTTTGAATATAGTTGATTCCCAGGATCCCAAAGCATCTGTATTTGACACCCTGAGAATGAGACTCAACTATTAACTGTATTTCTTGGTTCACATTGGTTGTTTTCGTTCAGGCCCGGTGGATTCTTGTAAATGCCATTAAGAGCACTAGGAGGAGCCAGGGGAACCAGATTGCAGCCGATTATAAAGACAACTTAGTGTGTATCTGTCTATAGGTGTCCAGTATTTTGCACTGACAGGGGGGCATTCATGCTGCAGTTTTATGATAATGACTCAGACAGCTCTGAGCGTCTGTTACTGTGCAGTGAATAGGATGCATTCACACTGTGCGGTCTTATACTGAAAGAGATTACAGCTGATAAAAAAGACTGTCGACCTCCAAGATGGAAGCACAAGACACAAAAGCTTTTATGATTTCACATGCGTGTTATGCTCTGAATAAAGCCATTTGCTTTTATTTTTCTTTCAGTTCTTCTTATTGTCTGTTTGTGAAAAAATTTGTAACTTCTGCTGTGTGTGTGTGTGAAAGAGAGAGAGTTGTGTGTGAGCATTCTGTCCTGGGGTCATTTAATCAACAGGTCCCAAAAAGTTTTGTGCCTGACCCCTGACCTTAGCCAAGTTCTGACAGCTTGCTTTTCCAACCCCCCACTTTCAGCAGGAAGTCTATTTAAGCACATTCTCTCATCCTTCTTCAAAGTGCCGACAATCTCCTTTTTAGCAGTTAAAATGGTGGAATGATGAAGTCGCAGCCTGTTGACTGTTTTTAGTCTGTGTTGCTGAAAGCAGGTTAAAATTAGAGGTTAGCTGGAAATTGGTCTCTTTTAACCATTAGGACGACGGTTTCCAAAGCTTATCTCAAAATACCAGTTAATCAGCCCGATTAATCAGCCATCCCATTAATCGGTCTATCACTAATCATTGTAACCATGGCAAAAAGTCATCCACTCATCAGAAGGCTGGTGGTTCAATCCCCAGCTCCTCCCCCTGCACGTCTAAGGGCCTTGTCACACCTGTAAAGTCTGAACCAACAGTGGTCCGAATTTAAAATCTGATGTCCTCGATCCCCATGTGGCTCAATTGTGTGGTTCTTTGTAGTTCTGACGATAGCCTGTCTAACTTCCTGTAATTGGCCCGAAAGTCCAAACCAACCAAAAAAGGTTTTCACACTTGAAACGAAACGAAACAAACCATTGTTCAGTTTGATCCCATGGTTTGTGGGAGGTTTCACACCTTTAACTTTCGTTTGGATAAATTGAAAAGTCCGTATCAAACAAGGTAGGTGTGAAAGCCCCCTAAGTGCTAAATAATTAAGTACTAAGTAATTTTATAAGGAGACCTGCTCTATTTGAAAAGTGTCCTGAGATAACTGTGTTATGAATTGGTGCTATACAAATAGAATTGAATTGAAAAGTGATCTTTGGCAAGATAGGGAACACAAAATTGCTCCCAGTGCTGTGTCATCAGTGTGAGTGTGTGTGAATGGTTTGTTACTTCCTAATGAGCAATTCACATCTTGTGTCAGCCATCAGTGTATGAATGTGTGTAAAAAGGGTGGATGCGGCATAGTGTAAAGACGCTATTCAAGTACAGGTCCATTTACCATTTACTATTACACTGTGTGAGTCTCTGTTGACAGTGACAAACCGACAGATAGAGCCATCTTCACTGCTGCATTATAAATGTTGGCAGGTATGGACAGCACTATAGCTACATGAGTTGACTTATTTTTGTCAGTGATAATTTGGGGGATGGTAGGCATCCTCTATC